CTTTAGAAAAAAAATGATACAATTTTTTAAACATACTGTAGTGAAGGAAAACACAGGTGAGGGCAACTGCATTGTATTTAATGAAAATTACAGAGTTACTCAGTAAAATCGGAAAACCATATCGTAAACGGTGAAATTTGCAAATCTTCAATCCATCATCAATCTATTGTCTGACATTTCACTATTCATGCGTTTCATACAAATCCCATTTTTGTGTTCCCACTCTTCCTTTCTCTTGATCTTCCCCCATCTTCTGCTGTCACCAGACATTACGTTTACACTCACGTCATATACTACTTATAAGTAGCGCTCACCACATTACTACTCATCAATAATGAATTATATTTAAACAATATTTGTCAACTTTTTTGAAAGCACTTACTTTTTTTAAAAAAAACTTAATTAACAAGAGACATGTAATATAAAAATACTAATCATGCAAAGGTTAGGCGTTACGAGAAAAAAAACAAAATCTTTAATCGATAAAATCAATTTAAGAACAACGTAGATGATTATGAAACGAAACGAAACGAAACGAAATTAATTGATCAACGCATCGAAAATATTCCTATTTTGGGATTAAATATTCATTAAGTTTAATGATAATTTGAGAATGTTGATAATTGAATTTAAAAAAAGAAACATTAAAACAATCTATTTCATTTTTTTTTATAAAAAGTTCAACACATATTTTATTGTCATTATCAATGATGAAGTGTTTTATTATTAGGTAGGTTAATTCAGGTTATTTGTTCTACTGTGGTGCGCGCTACTTATAAGTAGGATATGATGCGAGTAAAAACGTAATGTCTGGTGACAGCAGAAGATGGGGGGAAGATCAAGAGAAAGGAAGAAGAGTGGGAACACAAAAATGGGATTTGTATGAAATAGCATGAATAGTGATAATGGATTGTGATGTTTGCAACAGGAACAGTTCAGTTCGATATGATGGATTGAAGATTTGCAAATTTCACCGTTTACGATATGGTTTTTCTATTTTACCAATTAACTCTGTAATTTGAGATAAATACAATTCGGGTGCCCTCACCTGTGTTCTCCTTCACTACACTACCTTAACTCTTGGGTAGAACAATCTGTAAAAATTCGACTTACACTAAAAGATTAGATCATTATGACACTGGTCATTCTTACTGATCAATCCACCCGTCTATGTCTTGATCCTTAATGCGACGTTAATCGCCAGCTGAGTGATAACCTCTTAGAATGTTAAAGTAGGTGATGCAAGTTCATACTCCGGAGAGAAACTCAATCTGCTGAATTGTATCGGTACAATTTTTTGAATAGTAACATCAACTAGCACAAACATGAAGTACAAATTTTCTGTAGACTTTCTATAAACACCTTAATTAGAGAATATTCTATATACAGATTGATTTGTCTAATCAGTCAGTCATTTACAACGTAGGACTTCGTAAATAAGTACATCAGTTGAGGTTGCCGTTCTCCATCAACACAGAGACACATTTGTTAGTTCAAATCACATAGTGATAGAGACAGTAGAAGTATTAGCAGTAATTGAGAAGATTAGGGTTCGAAGATATGATTTGAGAAGTATAATTCAGTGAGATAACTTTAGTTAGAGAAAGATAGAGATGATGAGGAATTGAAGAGGTAAGAATTTCATAGAACACAATGAATGAATGCACCTGAGCCATTGCAAACGATTTTGAACCATGTCGTTCAAGGTATCTAGTTGCTTCTAGACATATCATTCTCCAGTCGACCTGCCTGGAACAGTAGGACCTACAGGAACACATGTTCCAGCTAATATAGCTCGGTTAGGTCATCACGATAGGCAAGCTCGACCACCACGTCAACGTAGTAGCTATGGTCAGGAATTCGTCTAATTCATTCACTATTCAAAAAAATCTTTACACTACGCAGATTCATGCAATGAATTCAAGCATATAAGAAACGATATTTTAAGATAAATGAAAATCAAGTATGCCTCTCAGAATTCACACTGAATCATAAATGTCTTCAAGCATTCTTGAATAGTGAGATCGTGTAGCTCAGGTGGGTGGTTAAAGGTGGTGTTTCGTTCTCCGAGTTGGATGTTTTGGTTGTGGAGGTTTCATTGTTATTCTTCTAAACAACATCATCAGCACAAACTTCAGATAGAAGTGAAGTATTCGGATTTCTCCACGTTTGACTCGTAGCTTGTTCTGTCAACCTTGTTGATCTTGCTGGCACCGACAGATTTAAGGTCAACAGCGACAGAACAAGCTACGAGTCGTACATAATGAAATTAGAATACTTCATTTCAACCGGAAGTTTGTGCTGATGATGATTTTCAGATGAAGAACAATGAAAGCTCCACAACTGAAACATCCAGCTCAGAGAACGAAACACTACCAATGTAAAATTGTTAAGTTCATCCTTGTTTCAAGGTTAAATCATTCATAACAAACGAAAACAGTGTTATCAGACATGCAAACTTATTTTAAAGCAAGTTATTCATTGACTTTATTCTATCATTTTCTAACCACGAACAAAAATGTACTCTAGGTCGTCTGTTATTTTGCTGAGTGGTTGTTATATTTCTCTCTTTATGATTACAACCCAGCTATTTACTCGAAACGTTCTCCCAAAATCAGAACACGATTGAACAGGAAATAGAGATTCTATTCCAATAACAAGGTTAGATGGCAGACAGAAGGTACATAGAGAGAAGAAGTTAGTATATTTATAGTTTTCTTGCATGAGAAGATTCTAGAATGTTTCCCTAGTATCGACTAGCGCTGATTGGATACGAAAGAGCCAATCAGCATGCAGTATTGCAATCATACTTTAATCCAATCAATGTCCCACTAACAGTAGTGAATTTTAATGAATAGATGAATACGTGTAAATGTGAACAAGCTAAATGATTTCCTTATTGATTCAATTACTTAGATTTTAGTAGAAACAAAATAGACATTTCTGTCATAAGAAACTTTATTCAGTAAGCAGACTTTGTTTCAATTTAAAACACTAAGGATTTATTGTTCACTAAACTCAATTAGACTGTCATTTAAAACTTCATTAAGGCATTCAACCACCCAATCAATCAATTAGCAGCAACATAAAACTTCGTACGTACGTACGTACATCAGTTCAATTTGCCAAACCACATAAACACAGAGATGAGATTGTCTAATCAAATCTCATATTAGTAGAGGTAGTGAAAGTATTCGCAGTATTCGGAGAGATTAGGATTAGAAGATATTATTCAAGTAGTAGAATCTAAGTGAAATAAACTTGTAAAGAAAAAGATAAAGGTGATGAAGAACTCTGAAGGTTAGGATTTGAGAGAAGACAAGGAATGAATGCACCTGTGCCATTAAGGCATTCAATCATATCTTTCTATGTACCTTAAATGAAATATAGATTAACAGTGCAGAGATATTAGTTTTCAAAAATTTCGCGCTAAATTGTATCTTGTTTCTATCCTATTCGGCTTTAGGTTAGTTAAATCTAATTATGTCTTTTAATTCAACGAACACAATACATCGAGAATTGTAAGCAGACATGAAAAGAATGTGTTACGTTCTCCACTAGGTACGCTTGAAGCGATTACGAGTTCACTTTAGTCGATAAACGCGAACGATACAATGAACCAGCGTCCAGGTAGGCTACCTTGATCCAAAAACTGCAAAACAGAAGTCTTGATAAGCGTAGAAAGTATATTCTACAACACCCAGCAATCACAATACAATCAAGCACACAACTCTCGTTTATTTATACATCATAGACACGTCCTTGGGACAGTCACAAAAATAGCACATTAATATAATACACAGCAACCAATCACAGCCATGGATTTTCCTGGTGAGAAATGAGATCTCAGGGTCAACTGTACAGCCCATGCTCGCAAAAAGTGAAATCCAAGATAAGGCATTTATTTATCAAGCGAGTTCTGGGGATTTAACATCCCCAACAGAATGAACAACAATTGGATAGAACTGGTAAGGACAGAGTAAGTTGAAGAATTTTGGTCGGCTGCTGCTTCTCCACTGGAGATAACAGGCATCAGTAAGTACGTACGTACAACTTTTAATGGACAATGTTATTGTTAGCATTCAAAAGTAAAATAGTGTAAACGAGACAAAAATTCTTCATCTTTCATATTTTATAGGCATTTTTAAGTTTTCGGGCAGAGTTTTGGAGGTTTTGTGTTTTTTTTACACATTTGAAATCATCAATCAATCATTGTTAGACCAACATTAGAAACCTGCAAGCACTGAAAGACGGCCGTTTCGCCCTGGTATGGGATTCATCAGTCCGCAGTGCGCATCCACGACTCCTGCTCCTCGCAGGATTCGAACCCGGGACGATCGGTATTTTGCTTGAACGCCCAACGATTGGACCACTGGACCGGCATTCAACGGTGTTAATGTCTAACTCTGATTGATATACGGATTTTCGCGCGACCTCACCTATTTGTCTTTGGTAGTTACTGCCTACACCCGACATGGTTGAACTCCATTGGTCACGTCTTCTCAACTAGAACTCCGTGGAATTTCCTCACGAAGCTAGTCGTCACTAGTGAGCACTGTTAGGATATTTGAATAATTCTTCAAGTTTAGGCAACATTTTATTCAAGCATCATCATCATTCTTTATCTCCTTTTATGTTGTGGTGCAAGCTACTTATAATAAGTAGTATATGACGTGAATGTCAACGTAATGTCTGGTGACAGCAGAAGATGGGGGGGGGGAAGATCAAGAGAAAGGAAGAGTTAGAAGAACACAATGGAATTCGCGTATGAAACGCATGAATAGTGAGTGACAATGTATTGTTGATGTTTTTGCAACAGGAACAACAGTCCAGTTCGATATGATGAACTGATATTTTGCAAATTAACAATTTACGATATGGTTTTTCCCTATTTTACTAAGTAACTCTGTAATTTTCGGTTACGCCACCTGTGTTCTCGTTCACTACAATGTGAATAAAATATATCCGAAAATAAAAAATAATAATAATAATAAACTCACCTTGCATTTGTAGTTACTTTATAAATTGGTGTTTCTTTCACACGACTTATTACAGAACATGTTAAATGTTCAATAGATGGTAATTTATTTCTATCTCCAGCTGAATTCATTATCATTGTTGTGGCGGCAAATTTCTCATTAATATTATTACTAAAATTCAATCCAGTTGGATAAGCACGTACAGATAAAATCGAAAGACCATATGGATGTATCAATGAATTATCAACATAGAATGGTGGAACATGCACTGGCTGACCATTACGATACCAATAGACATTTTGTAATTGTAATAATACATTTGGCTGTGAATTATTCGATGGTATACCACTGACAACACCGCCGCCGCCGCCAGTCAGTGGTATCGATCGAAATCGACATACTATACGGGCTGGTTTATTCTCTAGTAATGATAGTATAGATGATGACGATTGATTGGTCTGTTTTGCATTGGACAAATGATCAATTTGTGTATTAATACGATAAGCATTAGCTGCGTTATGATCTTGTTGTTGTTGTTGTTGTTGTTGATTGGGTGGTAGAATAGATTTAGTGAAATTTTGATTGAATTCATCATAATTCAATTGGAATTGTTTATCATCTGGTAGAATATAAATTTGTGGTGATATTGGTTCATATAATTCCCAATCAATTTCATAATAAGCAATAATTGGATCCTGTGTAAGTAAAATGGGGAAAATTGATTTAGTAAGTATAAAGATAAATATTTATCAAGTTAAATTAGTTTAAATTAAGTTTGATAATTCAGTTTAAATTAAACCCAGGAACTTTGGTTTTGAGCGAACACGTAACCTCTAGACTACTGATCCGGCAACAACAGTGTTAACGTCTAACTTTGATTAATCTACAATATGGTGCAACTTTATCGTTAGCCTATCAAAGAGAGACCTGGAATCAATGGACGACCGTTTCGTCCTAGTATGAGGCTTATCAACATTGTACATCTACAACCTCCGCTTGCGAGAACCGAACTCAAGACCTTCGGTTGCGTGCGCCATTTCTTACCCACTAGTCCATTGAGCTGGCATCCGACAGTGTTTATGTCTAACTTTGATCAATCCAAGATATTTCGCAACTTCACCCAGTGTTTCTTGGTTTATATATAATAGGTGGTCTAACAATGATTGATGAATAATTTCAATGAAATTCACATAATGTCTATATTTATATCATTTAAATCACTTTTGTTTGAATGAATAATCAACATTTCACCAAATATCCTACGAAGAATCACTTTTTTAAGTGTGAATTCTATTGGTCGATTCCTATTGGTCAATATTATGGTCGTCCTGACTGTCAGTGTCACTTCAAATGTTACTTCTTATTGGTCGCCTTAACTGTCAGTGTCACAAACTTCAATGCTGTTTCCTATTTGACCTAATTGTATAAATATGCATTATCTGTAACGTTTTATCACCCAGACCCGGATCCTAAGTCCGGTATCCTGATTCTCTTCTGAACTCGGACCTCGTAGCCTCTGAATGTTTGTAGGATACAAGTCCTACTTCATACCAACTATTCTTCTTTTATTCAATGGGGCTTGGGACACTCAGATTAAAGTAGTCTGTCATGTCACCGGATCCTCAATCCTCTCTCTCTCTCGTTTCTCAACTAAGGTAAACTCGTAATAATAATTCAAGCATATCAAATTGACCTGTTTACATTCATGCATAACAATTCCAAATTAAGCATTTTGTGGCAACTTCATTATTTTTAATCGCGTAAACAATTAAAACGATAATAATAGAAAAAATGTCAACTGTTTCTCCGGAAATAATAAATTGACGCAAAGAGTAATTACACAAGTAAATATACACTTATACATACATTCAAATGGTAAGTTTAGTAATATGTATTACGGGGTTGTGAAGATTGTTAAGTTACACATTTTTGAAACCATGAATCGATCAATGTTAGACCATTACCATTAGAAACCTGGAAGCACTGGACGGCCGTTTTGTCCCGTGAATTGATCGAAAGTTAGACATCAACACCGTTAGATACCGGCTCAGTGGTCCGATGGTTAGGCGTTCCCACAAAATACCGAAGATCTCCAGTTTGAATCCTGCGAGGAGCAGGAGTCGTGGATGCGCGCTGCGCACAGATGAGTCCCATTTAAGGACGAAACGGCCGTCCAGTGCTTCCAAGTTTTCTAATGGTGGTCTAACATTGATCGATTCATGGTTTTAAAAATGTGTAACTTTACTAACAATCATATTAGTAAGAACCTATAAAACTTAACTAATCATTATGAAAATGACATGGATCAATATAAACTTTTTTCCTTAATGATTTTTGACTTAATGACTCATTATTTTTAACTTAAACAACCTTGACTAGTTTGTCATACAGAACTTGAAATGACTGAAGCAAATAATGCATTACAAATAATCAATCAATGAGTAACTAACTAATGAACTGACAAATAATTCTTGAAAATCTTATTCTATAAATCACTTTTTTTGAAAGGAAAAATTAGCCCAGTTGTTTACTTCAGTTTGCCTCATATAGCAAATAGATTTTGTATGTGTATAAATCTCAAGAGGTTTATTATTGTCTTATAAATAGAGTGTAGATTCATACATAGTTTTACAAATAGATTGATATGAAACTGTAATTGACAGATTGTTTATTTTTAATCGAAAGCATTAAAATTTATTATGTTTATGAACGAAATAGGATTGCACTTGATTCAGTTGTGTGTAGTTTTATGATGAAGGTTCGCATTTGAAGAGTTCTTAGGTTAAATGAAATAATTAGCTAGATTTCATTTATTATTAATGGCTTCTGTGTTGATAATTGTGACAAAAATGTATTCTGTACGTGTGTAAATGAATATATATATATATATATATATATATATATATATATATATATATATATATATATCGCACACGAAACAACAAATGCAAGAGAAGACGACCAGTGTACCAGCAGCCTCTGTGGCAGTAGGTCTCAACATACATAAAGGAAAAAGCAAAATTCTCCGATGCAACACAACATGCACCAACCAAATCACGCTTGATGGAGATGCTTTGGAGGACGTTAACACCTTTACATATATGGGCAGCTTCATCGACGAGAAAGGTGTATCGGATACAGATGTGAGGGTGCGGATTGGCAAAGCAAGGGCTGCATTTCTACAGTTGAAAAATATCTGGAACTCCGAATAACTTTCAACCAAAACCAAAATCAGGATTTTCAATACAAATGTCAAGACAGTTCTACTGTATGGAGCGGAAACTTGGAGAACTACGAAAGGCATCATCTAGAAGATATAAGTGTTTATTAACAAATGTCTACGCAAAATACTTCGTGTTCATTGGCCAGACACTATCAGCAACAACTTACTGTGGGAGAGAACGAACCAGATTCCAATGGAGGAGGAAATGAGGAAGAAGAGCTGGAAGTAGATAGGACACACACTATGAAAAGCACCTAACTGCGTCACGAGACAAGTCCTCACATGGAACCTTCAAGGCGAAAGGAAAAGAGGAAGGTCAAGGAACACATTACGCCGAGAAATAGAGAAAGATATGAGAGGAATGAACAAACATTGGACCAAACTGGAGAGGGAATCCCACGACAGAGTTGGTTGGAGAAAACTAGTGGGCGGCCTATGCTCCTCTATTGGGAGTAACAGGCGTAAGTAAGTAAGTAAGTAATATATATTACTGAAATCATGAATCAATCATTGTTAGGCCACCATTAAAAACCTGGAAGCATTAGATAACGGTTTCATCATGGTATGCGACTCATGAACAGTGCGTATCCACGACTGTCGCTACCCACAGGAATCGAGCGCAGGACCCTCGGTCTTGAGTGAGAGCCCCTAACTTATGGATTACAGATCTGTAATCTAACAATGTTATTAGCTAACTCTGATTAATCTAAGATTTTTCCTACCCTCATCCAGTGTCCTCAGTATTTACTACTTACCTAAGACAGGATTAACCTCCACTGATTATGTTTTCTCACTAGAACTCCTAGAATTTCCTCATGAAGCTAGTCAATAGTGAGTACATTGTACAATTTCGCATAAAATATAGTTACATAGATAGCCGTTTATTGCTGCTTTTTGTGCAAAATCCTTAGAATGATCAGAGTTAAATAATAACACCGTTAGATGCCGGCCTAGTGAGGCAGAGGTTAAGCATTCACACGCAAAACCGAAGGTTCTGGGTTCGAACACTGTTGGCAGCAGGAGTCGTGCATGCGCACTACGCACTGATGAGTAGTCCCATACCAGGACGAAACGGTCTTCCAGTGCTTTCAGGTTTCTAATGCTAATCTAACAATGATTAATTCATGATTTCAGAAATTAACCATTATCTCCATAACTTTATAATGCTGGATATATGATATATTTATGATATTTTTCACAGATTAGAATAAAACATCAATGAATTGATCAGCTCTCCATTCTTCTTAATACACTCCATATAGAAGAATATCTAACTTTAAATACATAGTTATAAGTTATGGTCAAGAGAGTATAGTTAATTTTACGAAGGTCTACTGGTATTTTTAAAAATATGATCACCAGTGGTCGAATTATGTAATCTAGATATTTAAAAAGATAGATATTTAAAGAAGAAGAATTGACTGGCAACACAACTACACCAATAATGTACATGAATTTGTCAGGAGGTAAAGGTTGTAGTGTATGTACTTTTATGTCAAGACCACAGGGCTTGTTTCAGCCTTTGGACAAGTGATTTAATCTATCTTCCCAGGTTATTATTGACACGTCTTTCGACCTTGTCAATCTATTTATTCACTCTCGTCTTGGTTGTTTTTACTTTAGTGTGTGTGTTTGTGTGTGTAAGTAATTCACTTCACTTATTACATGTCTGGTCTATTTTTATCTGACTGTCAATATTTAGTCATGCCTCATTTCATTGAGTTGGTGCGCTTGCCTTCTCCGTTTCGTGCTACTTCGGTTTCCTGATTCGCGTCCTTATATCTGTCTACGTGAACATTATTTATTGGAATAAACTTATCCAACTGAATCCTCATTTGGATTCTTATTACCACTGTCACCTAAGTATAATACAAGGAAATTGAGGGGGAAGATTTATTTCACAGCATATTTAATTGTTCGTTCAAACTAAAGTAAGATCATAAGTCATTAAAAGCTTTATTTGAAACCATGAATCGATCAATGTTAGACCACCATTAGAAACCTGGAAGCACTGGACGGACGTTTCGTCTTGGTATGGGACTCATCAGTACGCAATGCGCATCCACGATTCCTGTACCCCACAGGATTCGAACCCAGGACCTTCGGTATTGTGCGCGAACGCCTAACCATCGGACGGACCACTGGGCCGATATCTAACGGTGTTAATGTCTAACTTCACCAATTCACGGAGTCTTCGGTAGCTACTGTCTACACCCGAACAGGTTGAAATTCACTGGTCATGTCTTCCCACCAGAACTCGGAGATCCCTCACAAAGCTAGTCACTAGTGAGCATAGTTAAATAAACTTAACAATCTTCACAACCCCGTAATGTAAAAGGTTTATGTTTTCGGAATGATCTTTTGATGACAAATTATAATTTAAAATAATTTATAAAGTCAGTAGCCATTTTTTTGACTTGTTAACATAAAATTTGATTCAGCCACTCTAATTCAATTTTTAATGGTTAGAGAAGTGATTAAAAGGAAGCTCTGAACTAGTGTAGGACACACATTGAGGAAAGCACCTAACTGTATCACAATACAATCCCTCACTTGGAATTTTCAAGACTGAAGGAAAATTAGAAGACCGAAAAAGAACACATTACGCCGAGAAATGGAGACAGACATGAGAAGAATGAACAAAAATTGGATAGAACCGGAAAGGAAAGCCCAGGACAGAGTTGGTTGGAGAATGCTGGTCGGTGGGGTAACAGGAGTATGTAAGTAGGTCTGAACCATCACAGAATAAGAATTGTACTTTACCATAAGATAACTGAAATTGGGAGATTAGAAGTGAAGTGTAAATGAGTGAACATTAATCGTAACTTTGAATCAAACATCTTTTCACACTTTTATGTATTTATTTATAACTGACTTGAATTCGTGAATAATAGACACTTTCAAAGTAAGATGTGTTGGTGTTTTCAAGTCCCTATAACTTTCAACAGTCATAAAGAAATTTGTTTTAAGTCTGTAACAAAAGGATTCAAAATATTGTCGCAGTCGAAATTAAAAACCAGTCTTACATCGGGACACCCTAAATTATACTAATTGAACAACAACATTGATAAAGGATTGGTGTGAGTTTTAATTTATGATTAACAAATGTCTACACAAAATACTCCGAATCCTTTGGCCAGATACTTTCAACAACAACCTTCTGTGAGATAGAGAACAAACCAGTGGAGAAAGAAATCAGGAACAAGCTCTGGAAGTGAATAGGATAATCATTGAGGAAAGCATCCACCTACGTTACAAGCCAAGCCTTACTTGGAATCCTCATGACCAAAGTAGAAGAGGTATACCAAAGAACAAGTTACGTCAAGAATTGCAGACAGACAAGAAAAGAATGAACAGCAGTTAGATTGAACTTGAAAACAAGGACCAGGACAGAGTATATTGGAGAATACTAATCGGCGACCTATGATCCCATCGGGGAAAACATGCGTAAGTAAGTAAGTAAAGGGAAAAACATTCAACATCGTTCTTGTTGGGGACATTAGATCCCCAGAACTCGCTTGATAAATGTCTTCATTTTGGATCTTATTCATCGGCTGGCCAGTTGACTTTGAGATCATATTTCCCACCAGGAGAATTCTTGACTGTCATTGGTTACTGTGTTATTTTAGTGTACTGTTTTTGAGACTATCCCAAGGACATTTCTATGATATATAAATAAAGGCGATTTGTGTGCTTGAGATCATTGTGTTCTGGCTGGATGTTTGTAGAATACATTTTTGTACAATATATCAAGACTTTTTTGTTAGTTCCTTTGGGTCAACGGACCAGAGTAGCCTATACCCGGACACTGGTTCATTGTCTCATTCTCGTTTTTATTAACTAAGGTGAATTCGTAATAGTAGTTTCAGGCATAGCAAGTGACAAGTATAACAATTCCCTTATGTTATTGACTAGGTTTTAAAAATCTATATTACCAAAGTACAGTAATATCAAATCACTTTTCAAACTTAACTGATAAAAAGTTTATCAAACCGGACAGCTAAATACTCACTTACGTTACATTAACTCTTTCTAATTTAACAATTTATGTACAGTTTAATAGTGAGTTTTTTTCATACAAAATACAGATATAGTATGCAACTTCAAGATTAAAACTCCTAAATAATATTCACTTGTAGTTGCGTTAACATTAATATTGATTATTGTACAATCATGATATCAGAAAACAATCTTAGATAATTATTGCTTGGAAGAAGGAAGTACATTAATGATAATGAAAAGTTATTGATTGTATATACCGACCAACGTGTAATACCCGACATATTACATTTACGTTTGTTCATCATTTATATTTGGTCACTTACTTACTTACTTACGCCTGTTACCCCCAATAGAGGAGCATAGGCCGCCCACAAGTTTTCTTCAACCAACTCTGTCATGGGCTTCCATCTCCAGTTCTTTCCTGATTTCGTTCATTCCTCTCATATCTTTCTCTATTTCTCAGGGTGTAATGTGTTCCTTGACCTTCCTCTTTTCCTTTTGCCTTGAGGGTTCCATGTGAGGTCTTGTCTCGTGACGCAGTTAGGTGCTTTCCGTAGGGTGTATCCTATCCACTTCCATCGCTTGTTCCTGATTTCCTCCACTGGAATCTGGTTTGTTCTCTCCCACAGTAGGTTGATTCATATTTGGTCAAGCCCTTTTTATCATTGAAGCGCCTTCATTTTAACAGATTGAGTCATTTGCGTTATGCAGCAATATAACCTTATCTGTAGTACCGTATTATGCTTTTCCCCGTCATCTTGCTTTTGCATTGAACATTTAAAGGCCTAGAGTTATATCAGCTTACCGCCTACTCCTTTTAAATATGTTAGTACGCTTAGGATAATTCAATGACTCATTTCATTCAGTTTCCTATGTAGGTAGGTAATATATTTTATAATCCTACTACTGTGACTTACTCTTCAGCACTCCCACTTCCTTTTCGCTTTGTGTGCTTGTGTGTGGTGTGGATACTAAATGTAATCAACGCTTCGTATCCATTTTCTGAAGTGTATACACCGTTGGGCGTTGTCTAGTAATGGAATGGCAGTAAATACGAAGTCTTAAGGAATTATATTGAATTGATGAGGCCACACATCAAGCATCCCATTTATTAATTAAATTCTGTAAAGTTTATCATTTTCTGGTAACAATTATCATAGTTAATGAATATAGATTTATTAACAATCAAGGGTTGCATTTATACAATTGAACAACATCTAGAACTCAAAACAACTATTAGTTGACACTAAAATCAGAATTTTCAATACCAAATGTCAAGGCAGTTCTACTGAATGGGGCGAAAACTTGAAGAACTGCACTACTAAAGCCATCATCTAGAAGATATAAGTGTTTATTAACAGTTGTCTACGCAAAATACTTCGGATAAATTGGCTAGACACCATCAGCAACAACCTACTATGGGAGAGAACAAACCAGATCCCAGTGGAGGAGAAAATCAGAAAGAAGCGCTGGAAGTGGATAGGACACACATTGAGGAAAGCACCCAACTGCACCACAAGACAAGCTCTCACTTGAAACCCTCAGAGTCAAGGCAAAAGAGGAAGGCCAAGAAACACATTACGCCGAGAAACAGAGAAAGACATGAGAAGAATGAACAAACATTGGATAGAATTGGAAAGGGAAGCCCAGGACAGAGTAGGTTAGAGAATACTGGTCGGTGGCCTATGCTCCATTGGAGGTAACAGGTAAAAGTAAGTAAGTAAGTAAGTAGGGGACTTCTAACGAATACCGATGACCACCAAATTGATATTAGTCCACAATTAACACACAATATATATCTCAAATAGAAGCTGAAATCCCATTATCATTTCCCGTTTACCATTATCATAGTTCATGAACACACAAAATTACTACCACACACATACTATAAGTGACTAAAACGGTATATATATATATATATATATATATATATATATATATATATATATATATATATATATATAAACTCAAGTTTTTATAACTAAATCAATAAAATCTACATCAATTCACAAACTAACTTTATTTTCCCATGGAGATGGCATAATAAATTGACACCATAATTTAACTGGTGCTTCCGGTGACAAAGGATCAACGATACGTGCCCATAATAAATTTGGACCAATCTCGACATGTTTACCTTCATGTAAACCAGGTTGATTAGCTGTAACAGTACGACTTGGTGGACGTCCTTGTGGCAGCTGAGCATATTCTGTTGAACTAGGCAATACTGGTTCACGCCATAACCATGATTTAACCTTTTGTGTTCCAACTAATGGACATATAAGTTTGACCTTATGAATTTTTAGAAAGAAAATAAAGGATTTATGAAAGACTTTAACTGATTAAATAAACATTGTGTTATTTCATTTCTTGTGATAGTAAGAGTTTTAGAGTAATTTAGATTGTGACTGGTAGATATGTAACTAACTCATCGGGAGAATTTATATTTTCATGAATAATAATTTAACTTTGAACATTCAGTGCCATCCACACTTAGTCAACCAGGATGTCAGGTACCTACCTACCTCTGTGTGGTTGTATCACTGGATCGAGCCGAAGTGTTCATGTCAAAATACTAACACGTTGGCAGTCTCCTTGGTTCTACTGAAAACCAACACACAATTGGCCTTGACATTAGAAGGTTAATTAATATAATTGTAAAAATTGTAAAAATATTGTCATCCAACACCTGATTGCTAAAGACGTGTTATGGTACATACTGGTATGTTGAGCCCATACGGCTTGTTGCGGTCCTTAAACAAATCAATCAATCCATTCTCCTGGAGTTATTATTCACATGTCTTTTGAATTTGTCTGTTAGTCACTGATATCCTTGGTTATTTTGTGTGCGCGCGCTTTTGAGTAACTGATATTTTTACACATTTGAAATCATCAATCAATCATTGTTAGACCACCATTAGAAACCTGCAAGCACTGGACGGCCGTTTCGTCCTACTATGGGACTCATCCAAAGTGTGCGCATCCACGACTCCTGAAACTTGCAGGATTCGAACCCGGGACCTTCAGAATTGTGCGCGAACGCCTAACAATCGCACCACTGGACTGGTATCCAACGGTGTTAATGTCTAACTCTGATTGATCTACGGATCTACGGACCTCACCCATTTCTCTTTGGTAGTTATTGCCTACATTCGACAGGGTTGAACTCCATTGGTCACGCCTTCTAAACTAGAACTCCTAGAATTACCTTACAAAGCTAGTAACTAGTGAGCACATGTTACGATATTTTTAGGCAGAGTTTTGGAGGTTTGTGTTTTTACACATTTGAAATCATTAATCTTTCATTGTTAGACCACCATTAGAAACCTGGATTGATTTCAAATGTGTAAAAACACAAACCTCCAAAACTCAACCCCAAAATAACTGATATTTCACAAAATGTAACATACAGTAAGAAGATGAATAAAAGTGATATATACATCGTGAAAATAGAAAGCTTCACTGGAAACTTTAACAACGAGACAATCTAGCGCACGGAATTAAACAACAATAAAAGAATCGATTCGAACTGGAAAAATCCCCCGTTATTTTACATTTAAATTAAATTACGCAATTGTAACAAACAAACATTCATGTCTGAATCATTGTGACTACTACATGTAGTTTGGATGTGCAAACAAAATGTACTATAAATGAAATGAAATATAACTCAGTGTGATCTATGAGTATCAGACTTAATTCAACCATCTCAATGTCGTGATTTCAAATCTCACGTGTAGTCATAATCTGACATTACCTCATAAATCAGGATTAATATTTGACATCCTTACATCTTACTCTCTGTTACATTGAATAGTTTTTTCAATACTATGTCAATCGATAGTAGGTCTAGTGCAGCTGTTACATAACTGTGTTACTGTCAATATTACTTATATCTTGATGACTTAGCCAAACTAAACCTGACTAGAAAGAATACTTATTCTTTTAAGCTTTAGGATGTTATTCAAGTTGGTTGCAGAGTGATAAGCATGAAAGATGTTAACTCACAATTCGAAGATATACTAGGTGTTTGATGGAAGTAAGGTATCTATTTTTTGGCAACGATTGTCTACAACACTACTGGCATCCTGCAATTAAAAGGAGGATGTTACGCATGAACGTAAACATGCCATTTTGATATGCTTGAACTATGACGAGTTTAACTTAGTCGGTAAACGAGAGCGACGATCAAGGATCTGGAGACACGACATGCTACTCTAATCCAAGTACCCCATTGAATAAAAGAAGACTTGATATGAAGTAGAACGGATATTCTACAAAACATCCAGAAATTATGTGGTCCGAGTCCACAAGAGAATCAGGATCCCGAACTAAGCATCCGGGTTCGGGTCCGAAAACGTTACAGATAATGCGTATTTATACATTTAGGTCGAATAGGAAACAACATTGAAGTATGTGACACTAATAGTTAGGACGACCAATAAGAATTAGCTAATAGAACTAAACTTGGAAATAATTCCCTTCGGATATTTGATTAATATTCCCATAGAGGAAGTAAAATAAAGGCTTGGTTCTATTAAAAAGCACATCTCATTGAACTTTTCAGATTTCCATTAACAGCTGATAAGTTCTGGAACGTACAATGTTCAAATATCAAGAAAGATAGTAAGAAACTGTGCCAGACAGATATCTCTTAGGATCTGTAATCATACTGTCTCACGCAACTATTCCAAACTCATTTTTCATTTCAAGTATTCCAAGAAAAGGTATTCTACGACAACATGAACAACTATAAAGTGACAACAGCTTTTATTACTTCGCTTAGGGTCAAGACCCCATTTATAGGTGAGTCTATCCGGAAAAATTACATTCCAAATGTCTATTTGTGTACTGTTGTCGTCTGTCATCACACTAGCAAGAATGTTCATTCTAAATGAACTGTAAGATGACTGACTATGTATCAAATAAAAAACAGAGATCCAAGCTGCATGCAACATTATATATATATATATATATGAAGTAATCATTTATGAATCGATATTACTTCAGACGATTCATTCGAAACTGTGCAAGAACACTTTTCTCTAGAACTTTAAGCTTTAATTACACCAGATAAATAAATAAAACAGAATTATCTCACAAATTTGAAAATTTTAGATTTTGTCTTTTTTGATTAAAAAACACTTTTCTCATTTGATGAAAAAAAAAATCTATCATTATCAAAATGAAACTGAATTTTATTTTAAATTTTAAAATTCAATTGAAAATCAATCTGAATAGAATGGAAAATGAGTTTGGAATGGTTTTGTGAGAAAGTATGAATACAGATCCTAAAAGATATCTGTCTGAGATAGGTTCATACTATAATTTTTGATATTTTAGCACAATACGTCCCAGACCTTATCAGCTGTTAATGGAAATATGAAAAGTTCAATGAGGTGTGCTTTTAATAGGACTTAGCATGTCTTTTTACTTCCTGTATGAGAATATTAATCAAATATCCGAAGGGAATTTTTTCTAAGTTTAGTTCTATTGGCTAATTCTTATTGGTCGTCCTAACTATTAATGTCACATAGTTCGATGTTGTTTCCTATTCGATCTAACTGTATAAATATGCATTATCTGTAACGTTTTGGGACCCGGACCAAGATCCTTAGTCCGGGATCTTGATTCTCTTCTGGACTCGGTCCACGTAATTTCTGGATGTTTTGTAGAATACCCGTTCTACTTCATATCAAGTCTTCTTTTATTCAATGGGGTACTTGGATTAGAGTAGAATTTCGTGTCTCCAGATCCTTGATCGTCGCTCTCGTTTACCGACTAAGGTAAACTCGTAATAGTTCAAGCATAACAAAATGGCATGTTTACGTTCATGCGTAACATCCTGCTTTTAATGAAGGATGCCAGTAGCGTTGTAGACAATCGTCGCCAAAAAATAGATACCTTACTGTCATCAAACCCCTAGTATATCTTCGAATTGTGAGTTAACCTCTTTCATACTTACCACTCTGCAACCAAATTCAATGACATTCTAAAGCTTAAAAGAATAAGTATTCTTTTTAGTCAGGTTTAGTTTGGCTAAGTCATCAAGATATAAGTAAGATTCGACAGTAACACAGTTATGTAACAGCTACAATAGACCTACTATCGACTGACGTAATATTCAAAAACCTATTCAATATAACAGAGAGTAAGATAAGGATGTCAAATATTAATCCTGATTTATGAGGTATTATCAGATTATGTATGACTTTACGTGAGATTTAAATCACGACATCGAGATTTTGAATTTAGTCTGATACTCATAGATCACACTGAGCGAAGTATTGCTCGTATATCCTGGAACACCCGAGTGAGCAACGCTGTTATTAGGAATTGGGTGCTAGGTAAGAATGGTAGATCTATAGATGAAGTAATGAAACTTCATCAGTTGAGGTGGTTGGGACATGTGCTGCGTATGTCTAACCACCGACTGCCGCGACGAGCTTTGTTTTGTAGTGTAGGAATATGTTGGAGGAAATCTAGGTGCGGCGAAATTAAAAACATGGTATAAATCCATGAAGTCATTGACGAGTGGACTTAGCCATGTCGATATTTGTCCACTACCTGGTTGGGGTCCGCGAGATGATAATAATCGATGGTTAGTGACCTTCAGTGTCATGGCTCAGAATCGTTTGCAATGACGCCGGTGCATTTATTCTCTGTGTTCTCTCAAATCCTAATCTTCTGGATTCTTCAACTTTGTAAACTTTTCTCACTGAATCATACTTCTTGAATAATATCTTCTACTCGTAACCTCTCTTATTACTTCTAATATCTTTACTACCTCTTCTACTATTGGATTTGAATTGACAATTATATCTCTGTGCCGATGTGGTATGGCGACATGAACTGATGTATTTACGTACGAAGTTCTACGGTGCATCTGACTCTGACTCTGAGATCACACTGAGTTATATTTCATTTCATTTATAACAAATTTTGATTACATATCCAAACTACATGTAGTAGTCACAATGATTCAGACTTGAATATTTGTTTGTTACAATTTGTAACTTACTTTAAATGCAAAATAATTAGGGAATTTTCAAGGAAGCATACTTAAGACTTGAAGAGAGAGAGAGAGAGAGAGTGTGTGTGTGTGGTGTGCTTTCACAGGTACATATTTATATATATACATGCGTGCTGCTTCTTATTAGACAATCAGTTATTTAGTTTGTTAGTTGATTAAAAAGCAGTGAGGATTTATATATGTACACTTATTTTGACACTACTAGAATTGTTCATGTTACATTAAACAGAAACTCATTAAAAAAAGAAAAGGATAAAC